ATATGGTCAACATTCCTATATTAATGAATGGCAATCCTCTTACTGAGTCGTCCTCTTTACGTCTTCTTGGATTATCGCTTACTACTGACCTTTCATGGAAACCATATATACAATCGATTGCTAAATTAGCTTCTGCTAAGGTTGCTTCTCTTTATCGTGCTCGCCATTTCCTTACTTCTGATTCCATTCTCTACCTCTACAAATCTCTTATTCGTCCCTGTATGGAATACTGTTGTTATATTTGGGCTGGTTCTTCTAACGATTCACTCTCTCTTCTTGACAAGGTCCAAAAACGCATTGTAAATGTTGTTGGACCTGGACTATCTGCTAAGCTTGAACCTCTTTCCTATCGTCGTAAAGTTGCATCTCTTTCTCTTTTCTACAGATACTATCATGGTCACTGCTCAAAGGAGTTATCATCTCTAGTTTCATCAACTAAAATTCATTCTCGTTTTACTCGTCATTCAGTTTTCTGTATCTGTCCCTGCATGCTCTAAAAACTTTTATTCATCTAGTTTTTTTCCCCGCACTTCAATTCTTTGGAACTCTCTCCCATCTTCATGTTTTCCTGACTCATACAACCTTCAACTTTTTAAGTCTTCTGTCAACCGTTTCCTTGCTCTATAACTCTGTTCTTTTTTTTTCCTAGTAACTCCCAACTTAATAGTGGTTGCTTGCAGCCTTGTTGGGAGTGAATGCAAATAAAAAAAAATATATATATATATATATATATGTAATGAATTTTATGAAAACAATTTTCTTAGCGAGACAAATTTTGATGTATAAAATAAACAAAGTTTGGCGAATTTTCTTTCTCGTGAGTTATCAACAAACATCAGATAAGTTTTTTAATCCTATTATATCTTGTTCATCTATTTGTCAATGAATATTATTTTGTTTGCATTGTTTGTGTTATATTTTTATTCAAGATTTATTTATCATTATGTATTCTACTGAAAGGAAACTATTAAAAGAATGGATTGAATGGGACGATAGTTGGGAAATTTTTTTTTTTGCCAATTGATTTTAATTTGCCTAATTTTGATGAGTTCGATAATATGTGCCAAAATTTAATACGCAAAAAAAAACTTTTTAAAAACAATTATAAAGCTTCAAAAAACGAAGCCTTTTTTAAAATGCAACTGTCTCCTGCTCTACAAATGAAAAAAAAAATCAGCAGATGCAGATGAATTTTCATTTCTAAATAGGAATAAGGAACTAAGTAGTCAAGTTGACCAATTAACTTCTGAAAATATAGCAAATGTAGAGCAAAAAGAGAAATTAAAACTGAAGTTATTAAAGTTGGAAGCTGAAATTTGTAATTTAAATTCTAAAAATGAGGCTCTTAGTACACATTGTAACTCATTATGTTCTCAAGTAGAGGTTATGAGTATTAGGCTAAAACAGGAGGAGAAGTTCCAACTTATTTTAAAAAAAATAATCAAAACAGCACAGCGTAAATTTGCATCTGCTCGTGCCAAAAATGTAAGATTGCTAAAAAAAATTAAATTTGAAAAAAACAATGCAAAAATCAGTGATTTAAACCGGAATTGTTGTCAAATTTGCAAATGTCTTCTAAGCGATGATAAGGATTTAGTTGTTGTTGATTCTTATTTAGACTATGACAACATTGGTTCCTCTGAATTGTTTTGTGGATTTAAATTAAGTAATCCACAGACTATATCAGTTAAAAGGCCATTAGTTGGTAAAAAATATATTTACATTAAGTTAGGACATTGTAAACCTTATTCTAAGTTAGGTAGGCATGCTGCAGCTAGACGATCTAAACTTGCTTTTATATTCCTTCGATTATTAGCTTGTTCAGATTTAGAAAGTGATTTGTCTATGTTGTTTTGTGATTCAGTGCCTTTTGATAAGTCTATGTTTTGTTGTGCTGCACATAAGTTAGGTTTAGTTAGGGAGTTAAGTGTTTCTGATGCTGTAGAGCTGCAGAGCCAATTAAGGATGTCCACGGCTGAATTTCGTACGCTAAGACGTATTCTGTGTAATTTTGGTGCAAGGATTCTTCCATCTGAGCCCGGGATGAGGCGAGGACAAGAAATGCGGACAATGCATGTCAATAAAGAACATGTTGCTGTAAAGTCCATGTTGCTTTATCCAAGAATTTGATGACTTGTATTGAAGAGGTTTTTAATGATCTTCGTGTACGCGACAGCCTTGATTCGGATGTTCGGATGCTTTGGCAAAGAGGTATGGCTCCTTTTTGCTGGGGATAAGGGTGGAAAGTATATGAAATTCCATTTTGAATTTGTCAATTCTAAATCATCAGGGTCTGTATATGATGTTCATTTGTTTTGTATGTATCAGGGTTCAAATTGTCGTGAGAATATTGCCTTAATTCTCGGGCATTATGCCAACGACATTAAAAGAATTCAGTCGTCAGATTTTAAGCTAAAAGGCAAAATAGTCAGGTTGTTTTTAGGTGGAGATTTTCATTTCATCAATGATGTTCTGGGACACCAAGGTTCAGCTGCTAGCTTTCCTAGTTCTACAGATCTAGTTGAGTTCTCTTAGAAACCATGCTTCTATGCCTCACACACCTCCTAATTGTAAGAGAACAATACAATCTCTGGAAAAAGTAAGAAAAATTTATTTTGTTTTATCATGCCTGTGTAATGTTACTTTAAAATATTTATTGTTTTCTATTATATTGATTTTATATATTAGGTAGATGCCCACTTTATTCTTATCTTCACAAGTTAATTATACCTATCCAACCATCTAGGTTAAAGAATGGTATATAAGTCTAGGATTAAACTGGTGTAAAAATATAGCTTACTACTTTAACTTATAATCAGAGCAACTAGTATGTTTGTTGGCTATGATATAAAATATTTATTTGTGTAGTTAATTTAAAAAATGTATGGTATTTTATTATATGTAACATTTAATTTAAATATTAGATGCCCATTCGATTATTATCATCAGAAGTAAGTTCTACCTCTGCAGTACCTCTGCTCAATATACCTTTTCTCTGGTTAAAGAATAGAATTTAAGACTCATAAATAACAAGTTAGTTAAAAGATACAGTTTAAATAAAGAAAATGTTAAAGTTATTGTCACCATTGTGAGTCTGTTGAACAAAAACTGTTCTTCTGGTTTAGAATTGAGCCTGGATTTATTATCAACTAGGTGTACAAAGGTCGTTTTCTACTTAAAGAACTTATCAGTGGATCAACTTATTATAAAACAGTTTTTTATGAGAATAAAAAAACATTATCAAACAATTTAAATTAGCTAGTTGTATATTTAAACAAATGTTTTATTTTTTGTGAGAAGAGATTGATTCAATAAACCTTTCACTATATTATTAAAACTGTATGCATAGAAAGTAATCGCTTAAATTTTTTAAAGGCTTTAACTTAACATTTTAATACTAAATATTTCAAAATCTGCCTTTATTTTGTAATGCATTGAATTTATCAACTTAGTGAATTATTTTCATATTTAAAAACGTACTCAATTAAAAGTTAATCCTCCTTTAAGCGACATCTTTCATAATTTTGCAAAAAATGCGGTTTGCTTGCAGACCTCAATAAAGACTGTTTTAGTTAACCTTTAACAATTAAGTAAGGTTTTTTTATTTTAATAATAGTTAAACAACAAGTGTATGTGAAATTTTATCAAAAAAAAATCAGAAATATATTTTTCTGATTTTTTTTTGATAAAAAGTAACAACAAATTACTAAAATTTATCCAAGTTCATCATTGTCGCGTTTTTTATTAAATAAAAGAAATTTTTTTACTATTGTATTAAAGGTCGTATGATAAAACATTTTATTGTTTTTTTAAATCTTTTTACAGAACAAAATTATCTCAAATATTTCAAAAGTTATAAATGTTTTAGTAACACCCCCTAAGTCAATATTTTCCAAAAAAAACAAGAAGCCGTAAAGCTCACTCTGAAACAGCCGTGTCTATAAGGCCAGAAATTATCTAAATAAAAATAATTTAAAACAACTATACTACTCATTTATTTAAAGCTATATAAACTATGCAAATATTGCCTGGGGAAGTACAGTTAAAAGTAAGTTGCAACGTCTTTACCGTCATCAGAAACATGCAATGCGAATAATATATTTTTAAATAGTTTTTCAAATACAAAACTTCTATTTAAAGATATGAATATATTAACTTAACTTGTACAATATTTTATGTTTTACGTTTTGTTGTATGAATAACCCCTTATTTCATGTTTTTAAAGATCTATTTACCTTTAAAGTAAAGAATAAATATAGTTTGCGAAATAATAACTATTTAAAAGAACCCTTTTGTCAAACAAAGTTTAATCAATTTTGTATAGATTATCGAGCACCTTATATCTGGAATAGAATTGTACAGCCTAATTTAGATTCATCTATCTCTTTTTCTGTTTTTAAAAACAAGTTAAAGAATATTCTTTTTTCTACGGATGACATAGTGAAATATTTTTGAGATATTATTTTAACCATTTCTTATTTCAAATGTTTTGAATTCTTATTTTGTTATAAACTACCTGTATTATATTATATTATATTTATATTTTAATTTTTATATGGTTCTGGCGACAAGATCGATATGATCTTCTTCCAGATTCCAAGTTTATATGTTTATATTACATGGAAATCACGACATGTAAATAATGTAAACTTAAAAAAAACTGATTTATCAAAAAAAAAAAGGGCTTGGCAGTGTTTTTAAACATTTCTTGTGCAACATCTTCGTGCGATTGGAAACAGTCTTTTTATTCTAGCAAAGAGATTGAAAAGCAAGGTCCTGGAATGTCACTATTTGAAATAATTTATAGATTTGTTGTTGCAATGAGAGAGATAGGAAAAGGTCATTCTAGTTTGGAAAAATTTTGTGGTTTAATGAACTTACCTCCTCCAATGAACATAAAAGCATTTAATGATATTCAAGATAAAATTCTAATAATATATATTAAAGTGTAGCTGATGTGAAAATGAAAAATGCAGCAAATGAATTTCGATATCTTAACAATGATATCCAACCAAATGATTTTGGATATTAATGTAACAGCTGATGTTGTTGTTTCCTATGATGGAACTTGGCAAAAAAGGGGTCATTCCTCACTTAATGGTGTTGTTGCTGTTATTGCTAGTGACTCAGGGAAATGTGTTGACTATCAAGTTCTTTCAAAAATATGCAATGTCTGTACATCATGGGAATCAAAAAAATATAGTAATCTAAAACTTTATGAAAATTTTTTGGAAACCCATGATTGTTTAAATAATCACGAAGATTCTGTTGGATCTATGGAAGTTTCTGGAATTGTAAATTGTTTTATGAAATCTATAGATAAAAGGCATATTAAACATATTTGAATATTTAAATGTTACACCAGGTACATTTGCCTCAGTACTGAACCAAAATAGACCGAGAAAGAATAAAGATGATGGAAAAAAAGTCGCTTGACAAAATAAAACAAAGAAGAAAGCTGCTTCGTGCAGAGCGAAAAAGTTTTACAGATATAGTAAATAAAAGTGAAGGTGTATCTTATGAGGTAGGAGTTTTTTAGATATTAGTTTTTTGTTACTTTTTAAATTAAATTTGTTAAGACAGTTATTGTATTTTTTAACGCAGTTATTTTTTATTATCTTTTTATATTCAAGCATTTTTTCATTGATTGAATAATTCTATTTTGGTTAAATATTTTTGTGCGGCCATGGCGCAGTGGTTAGAGCGCTTGCTTTAGAAGCAGGAGATCCAGTTTCGAAACGAGCTCTGGACATATTTTCGCGTCACGGTAAGGAAGGAGGCGTGAACTTCCTGGTTAAATGCACATCCGCGGTGCTCTGTGACAGGACCGTTAGGTCTTCTTGGGGCACCTAAATAACAAAACAAAACAAAACAAAAAAAAAAATTTCAATTATCAGAGTTTTCACATTTTTCTTTTTTCTGTGTTTTCAATAATGCTTAAGTCGTTTTGTTTTCAAAAGTTAAAAAACTAAAAATTAATTCATTATCTAGTGTAAATAAAAACAAATCTGACATTATTTTTCCATTCAATAAAAAGTCTAACTATCTTAAGTTTTGGTATACAAATTCTACGTCTTTAGTAAATAACATAACAGAGTTTGAAACAAAAATTATGATCGACTCACCAGATATCATACTTATTTCTGAAACATGGTTCAAAAATGACTTAATTATAAATATTAGCAACTACAACTGCTTTTACAATAATAGAACAAACAAACAAGGTGGAGGTGTTGCAATTTTTACAAAATATGATATAACTGTTTATGAAGTAACAGTTTCACTTTTATATAAAGAAGTTGAACAAATATGGTGTAGCATTGTACTTCATAAAACAAAAATATTAGTTGGATGTATATACAGACCACCAAACAGTACTGACCTAATAAATATGCAATTAATGAATTAATAAAAACTGCAAAAAAGGAAGTAATGGAAAATACTCAAATGTAATAATTGTTGGTGATTTTAATTACCCAAATATTATTTGGAAAGAAGACGGAACTATCGAGCTAAAGCAAAACTGCCAAACAAGCAGAGCATTTATTAATAACTTGCAAAACAATTATTTACATCAAGTAGTTAACAAGCCAACTTTTCAAATGGCTGTTGATAAACCAGCAAATATATTAGATTTAATAATATGCGACGATCTAGATTTAATAATTAACATTGAATATGATGCTCCACTTGGTCAAATTACTAAAAGCCATTACATATTAAAATGGGAAATTAACATACTCAATTCATATGAGAAAAAATTCAACAATAAGAGATTTAATTTTCGAAACGGAAAGTACAAAGAAATGAATCTCATGTTTTATAAAGTAAATTGGGTTGAAATCTTTGACAAAATGACTACAAATCAATGTTATGAATACTTTTTAAAAATTTATGAAAAAGCTTGCAAACAATATATTCCTCGCCACTTCAAACCCACTAGTTCTATCAAAAATCCATGCATTAATAAAAAAATCAAGAATCTACTTAGAAAAAAACGTAGTTTATGGTGCAGAGTTCGTGCTACAAACTTCAAGAACACAAACTTAAATAATGAATACAAACTTATCAAAAAAACAATTAAAAAACAAATTAAAAAATTTACTTTTGATTATGAAATAAACTTAGCAAAAGATGTAAAACATAATCCAAAACGCTTCTATGCATATGCACAAAGAAAAAACCAGACACATACAAAATTGCTAGCACTTAAAACTAGTGACAACAAAATAATAACTGATAAAAAAGTAATTGCTAATCTACTAAATTGTAGTTTCCAATCAGTATTTGTCAAAGAAAATCAAGATTTACCATATTTCAGCAATAAAACTAGTCATTTATTTGAATGTGACTGGGACCAAGAACTAAAAGAAGATATTATATTTAATTATTTATTAAAACTTAATGAAAACAAGTCACTTGGTTGTGATAACATCAGTCCCTATGTGCTAAAGCATTGTGCAGAAGGATAATCCAAACCTTTGTCTTTAATATTCAAGAAATCAATACATTCAGGAGAGCTGGCAGAATTATGGAAATCTGCAAACATTACACCACTTTTTAAAAAAGGAGACAAGAAAGATCCACTCAACTACAGACCTATCTCCTTAACATCGATACCAAGTAAGATAATAGAGAAAATAATTAGAAAAAAACTGATAATTTATATAACAAAAAACAATCTGTTAACGTCTCAACAACATGGATTTATACAAAATAAAGGGTGCCTAACAAACCTATTAGAAACTTTCGATATTATTACAACTGAAATTGAAAATGGTTATCCAGTTGATATATTGTTCCTAGATTTTGCAAAGGCGTTCGATAAGGTGCCCCACTATCGACTTATATATAAAATTTCTAACTATGGAATTAAAGGCAATATTTTAAATTGGATTGATTCTTTTTTAAAAAACAGAAAACAAAGAGTGGTAATGGGTGAAGTTGTATCAGATTGGTGCGAGGTTTATAGTGGTGTACCACAGGGCTCTGTATTAGGTCCTCTTCTTTTTCTGTTATATATCAATGATCTTCCCCAATGCATCTCTTCAATCGCAAAATTATACGCTGATGATACTAAAATCATATCTGTTATAAAAGAACATAATGATCTAACTAATATGCAAAATGACATTGATTTGTTAACTGAATGGTCAAATGTATGGTTAATGGACTTTAACATAAATAAATGCAGTGTTATGCACATTGGAAGAAAAAATATTAACTATAACTACACTATAAAGCACGAGAATCAAAGTTTTCTTCTAAAAACAACAACAAAAGAACTAGACTTGGGTGTAATAGTTTCATCCAATATGAAATGGAATCATCAGGTTCAAGTAGCTACAAGTAAAGCACAAAGAATCTTATGTTTAATTAGAAAAAGCTCTACTTATCTTAACACTGAAATGGTAAGGCAACTATACACATCGTTGGTTAGACCACACTTGGAATTCGCAGCTCCAGTGTGGAGTCCAAGTAATAAAAACAATATCAATGACCTAGAAAAAATTCGAAGACGAGCAACAAAGCTAGCCCCTGAACTAAAACATCTAAGTTATACCGAAAGATTGACAAAGTTGGGCCTCACAACTCTGGAAACAAGACGTATAAGAGGAGATCTCATTGCTTTCTTTAAATTAACAACTGGGATTGATAAGATATTATGGTATAAAGAGCCTAATAAAGCTTCTTCCCAGAGACTTCGAGGTCATCCAATGAAATTTGAAAGAGAATTTGCAAAAACAACACCGAGACATAATTTTTTTACGAACAGAGTGATACCTCATTGGAATGCTTTACCTGAAAAAGTGGTTTCTGCAATGACAGTAAATTCTTTTAAAGCTAGACTAGATAAACATTTGTTAACGGCTGTTAAAGTATAAATTATAAACTTTATACTCCGCGACAATCGTCGTTACAGCAGTTTGTATTACTATGTATTACTATAATAATTTTTTGACCTTTTTATATATTAAAAAATTTTTTTTTTCATTAAAAATCTTTATTATTGTTTTTCTCAATATATGAGTTTTTTGCACCCTGCGATAAATATCTTGAGATTGGTTTGTCTGATTGTGTTGAAATTTTTAGGAGTTGTTTATTATATATATGCACATTCACCTTACTAAAAGAATTAATGTTAGTTAACTGGTTCTAAAAATAAGGTCTAGATTCTAAGCCTTTTCGGGGCTTTTTTTAGACCTTAAATTGGTTTTCTTACAAAAGCTTCAATAATTTATTAAATTATTTGATTTTGGCAGGGTGAGTGTAATCATCTGATATTAAAAAGCTGTGAAAATTTCATGATCATACCATTATTAGTTTTCAGGCTATTTATCGCAGCGCGTAGTCCATATTTAGGATCCATGGACCCAAAATTTTAACCAAAAAATATTTTTTTAATTTTTTTTCCTTTACTGTGCTTTAAATATGAAATACTATTTCTAATTTGAAAATCATAAAATGTGAATGCATTTTTAAAATTTTGATTTTATTAGTATAGGACCACCTTAACAATCAAATTAGATGTACTGGAAGGAATTATTTAAATAACTAAATGCTAGTCTTTTTAGATTACATGAAAGATAATTAAACAAATCATTGAATAATTAAGACAAAACCAATAAATACTTCAAAAATTTATAGTGGTTTGCTATATATAAAATTTAGAAAAAAAAAAAGATATAATAAACAAGACGAGGGGGTCCAAATTAAAGGCCGGTGTAGTATGAGATTATTACTCCCGCTTTTTTTTTACTCCCCAGTAAAAATCTCATGTTAAATTTTTACTCCCCAGTAAAAATCTTATATTAAATTTTTACTCCCATTATGAGATTTTTACTCCCATAAAAATATTATGCGGCAAACCGTGTTTTGCGACTTTGTTGTATTTTGAATTTTTATTTTTAATGTTTGAAAGACAGTTGTTTTTTAAATAGCAATAAAAAAAGATTCCGTTTAATATGAACATTATTTTAAAATATTGTAGTGTTTAAATGAATAAACAAGAGCCGATCCAGATCATGTAGTAAGGGGTCATCAATAGAAGACGTCGTCCAAATAGGGTTGGAGGAGGGGTTTGAGATAAAAAGGATGAGAGAAGGAAGATGGGGAGGTTTTTAGAAAAGGACTTCACTTTATAGATTTTTTTAAATGTGTTTTTATGAAGGTAATGTTAAAGAAAATTTTCAAATTTATTTTTGAAAGGTGTAGCAGCAGATTCAAACACCATTGCGAAATGAAATAAATTTTTTTGTGTTTGAAAATAGGGGAGGGGCAATTTTCAGATAACGATTTGTAAGACAATATGTAATGTAAAACAATTTTAAATTTGCACCACGTAATTTTATTAAAATCTTTTTTTTATTTAGACAGCCTAACTATATTACTTCCGTTTTCAAACAAATTGCTGTTTTTAATATATAAACTTACATAGTACAAGAAAAGAAAATACAATAATTGAAATTAAACAGCATTATTTAAAACTCGTAAAAGAAATACATATGTATATGGACTAGATTTTCAACTATTAATCACAACATCAAAGTGGAACCCAGTTGAATTGTCTAAAAATATAGAATAGTCACTTAACTTATTAAGCCGTAAACTGCATGGGTAGATCATTTATTTTATTTTCTCTCCATATTTGCTGTATACTTGAATATCTACTTCCATAAATGAAGCACATCCAATTATCTCCGCATCAGTTGCCCATGTCGCATCTTCAAGCATCCTAGTTTTACAAATATGCGTTTGAATTGGCATACTCAAATATCCAGTCATTTCATCATGTATTTGGTTACACATATGGTTAACAACCTTGTCTCTAATTTGCTTATGCTCATCCTCACTTTCTGTTATGATAAAAGAAACTGCTATAAAAAAGCAGTTTCCATCTCCTTTAATTCTATGGAGTCCCTGAGGACAAAGAGTTAGGTTTATGTTTCCTACGGCGACATTGTGTTTCCAAACAATTTCAAACTTTTCTGCAATTAATTTTCTCATATCAAAAGTTGCACACTTTGCTATTTCTTTGTCTAAAACATTTACACAGCTTTCATGTTGAGTATTTATATATGACTTGCTTGATTCAACGTCTTTGATAACTGGTTCAATTTTGATATCATTATCATTTGATAATTTGTTAACTTCTTCTATTTGAATGCTTCCATTACTAAGTGTTTTTTTTTTTGTACAAGGACAAACTTGTTAGATTGTACTTTTTTATCAATATTACATTTTTTTCATTTTTTAAACTACAGTTATTAGTACTTGAAATATTAGTTACCGTGTATGGTCCTATCCATGGCTTAACAAGCTTTCCACCTTTTCTGTCATCACGTTTATGATTTCGCAATAAAACTTTTGTTCCTATAGCAATACTATTCTTTGCGTTAACTCTTTTGTCATAGTCGCGTTTTTGCCTTACTTGTGACTTTTGGATGTTTTCGTAAGCTTCATCGAAAATACACTTCTTCATTTCATTCATTTTATTGAATGTTTCCAAAATTGCTTTTTTGTTTTGGGAATTCTCTTCAATCAGAGTAGCATTATCATTATAGTCAATTATGTTCTGATCTATATCAATCGGCAGAACAGGTTCTCTTTGATAAAGTAATTCAAAGGGTGAAAATCCAGTTGATTTGTGTTTTCTAATTCGCATTGAAAATAACCGTTTGCTTGTGGATGGTATGCACTCGTCATGCGTTGGCGAGTCCCAGTTTTTCTGTGAAGTTCATTTGAAAGCTTTTACAAATTCACGGCCTTGATCGTTAATCTGTATTTCAAAACACCCGTGTCTACATATTTGTTTATACAGGAATATTGCAACAGATTGTGCTGTTTTATCAAAAAGAGGTTCAGCTTCTACCCATTTTTTGAAATAATCAACTAGTACTATCAGATATTTATATCCATTTACTTCTGGGAGTTGAGTCAAATTAACCCCAACCTGTTTCATGTTACCTTTTGGAATCGATATGCTTTGTAACAATGGTTTAACTTGAAGTTTCTTGTTTTTTGCTTTTTGACAATTATCACATTCTGAAACATAGGCTGTAATGTCTTTTATCATACCAAACCAAAAAAATCTCTTTTTAATATGCTCTGTTGTTGAATTGATGCCTATGTGGCCAGATAATGCGTTACCCTCACTAGAAATATTATTACCATCATGAACAGACTTAATTATATGGTGTTGCTCTTCTTTGCACCAAATAACTTTTCTCTAAAAAAAATTTAAAGATGCTGTTATAAAATATATATATATATATATATATATATATATATATATATATATATATATATATATATATATATATATATATATATATATATATATATATATATATATATATATATATATATATATTTATTAAAAGAGTGCAAAGTGGATATTTTTGCAATTACTGTGTTTTTCCTTATCACGGCAGTATTATACTAGTAAAGTACAAGCTTTTTATTATTTAATTATGTAAAACATGATATTATTATATATTACGTATTATTATTACATGATACATTATTAAAACATGATATTATTATGTATTACGTTATTATGTAAAACGTGACACTTAAACACATACATAAAAATGTATGTATTTATCGCAAACCACGCTAGTATAAAAAAACTTTAATTATATAAACTGTTTACCTTAACGCCAGATTTACCCAGATAATACAGCTCATTATCTTCAATTACAAATGGTTTTGTTTTTCTTCGAAAGTTCGACTTATCGCCTTTACTAATAGCTGTCTTTGGATATATGCATCTTTTTAAAAAATTATAAACGTCGGCAAATTCAGTATGCATAGTTAAATTTTCAGAATTATGAAAGCCACTGCATAAAAAGATTCGTTTCTTATTGCTTTTCAAGAAACCGCAGTAATTAAAACGTTGAAAACTATTCTCAAAATACAACGTGATTTTGTTACAAAAATACGTTTTGCCGCATAATATTTTTATGGGAGTAAAAATATCATAATGGGAGTAAAAATTTAATATAAGATTTTTACTGGGGAGTAAAAATTTGATAAGCGGTTTTTACTGGGGAGTAAAAATTTAATATGAGATTTTTACTGGGGAGTAAAAAAATCGCGGGAGTGATAATCTCATACTACACCGGTTAAGAATTTTTTGCAGAACAATAAAACAAATAAATTACAGTGTAGTTTGCGGACAAATACACACTTTTAACAGCTGTTTCATTATAATACAGTAGGAAGGAATGCATTCAAGTCACTTTTCAACGTTTCCAAACACAGCAAATATTATATTCATTCTTTATTTTACATCCAAGATGTACCAACAATCGTTGATACATCTTAGATGTAAAACAAAGCAAAATAAGTTAAACTTATTTATTCGCATATTGAATAATAAAACAACATTTGGTATTGTAAACTCGCAGTTTAATAACCAAATAGCTAAGAATCCTTTTCTAGATGATGTCATAAGTTTATGCGATCGAAATGAACTAAATCTAGAGAACTTAATGCAAAACAAAAGAAAAAATTGTGTTAAAAAATATAATTTCTAAAAAAGATCTTAAAAGGTTAAGCTATGCAATTGAGTTCTGGAATTCATTGGAGCAAAGGAAAATCTTGAAGTTTTTTACTATGGCGAGAAATAAACGAAAATCTAAATTTTGAAAAATCAAAATTAACACGATTTTTTAGAGGTCGATGGTTTTTAGAGTCAGTATATAATTATACTGAGTTTTTAAAGTCAGTATATAATTATACTGAAAGTTGTTTCTCTCACCAGTGGCTGGTATTTATTTTTTCTAATTTTTTTTTTATTGGTCGATAACAAGTAAAATTTAATAAACGGGGGAGGGGGTCTTAGTAAGAATGGGATGGGCAGGATAAATTTCCGAAAACTAATAAACGCCCCCTTCCGTGTATTAAGCAACTAAGTAGTGTTCGTAGACATTTTATTACCCACGGTCATGGCATTATATTAAAAAAAACAGCTGCAACAAGGTAACGTCTATGGAGTACACACATTCTATTATCCACGATACAAGTAAAAAAAAAGAGACAACTTTTTATTTCTATGGTGATAACACAATGCTTTTATCGATATAAAATGTATAAAATGGAACCATCAAAGTTTAACTGCTTGTCTTTAAAGAACCGTAAATGTTAGAATAAACACCAGTAATTATACAACAAAAATCGTACATCGAAATGATTGTAAAAGTATGAAAAAGGCGTTAGGTTTTGAACACCTTCACAAAATATAAAACTTATAAACACAAAACAGCTCATTTATAAAAACACGTAATTAGTAAAAGTTATGTACTTTTTTATAAAGTTGTACTTCACTTATCCAATCCTAAGTTTCAGTCTTGATTAGTCAGTTGATCTACTCTTGAATAGCGAGTTGATTAATTCTTGATTAGCCAGTTGATTTAATTTTGATTAGTCAGGCAATTCATTCAGTTTTAACGTTATGTCGTTAAATTTAAAGATGAATGAAAAACAATTGTCAATTTAAGCGTCCGCATCTAATTCCTGTTTTATGTCTATTGCACTGTAAAAACAGTTTGCATTTGCATCAGCTATTTTGTCCTGAATATTTTTATTGGTTGTTTCATTTAAAATATTTGATTGCGATGAAAATAATGCCGTGCTTTTATGCGAATTGTTCATATGTTTTAAGTACGCTGTACGTATAGGAAAAATGCGACTGCAAAAATTACAAGAAAATCGTTGATCTTTATTGATTTGTAAGACTGATTGATCAGCGGTAGAAATAAATGAGTTAGTTTCTTCGTCTGCTTGTTTTACTTGTTTTGGAACTCTTGTCTTTCTTTTCTGTTTTGACTTTTGCTTGATTGTTTCTAAATCATTTTCGGAATTCTCTACCTGTAAACAAGGATTTAACAGATCTTTGTCACTTGAACGAATAGGTCGATTAAAAATACCTTTTTCGATATGCCTTTTGTGATGGCTGTTCATTCCAGACTTGTGGCGGAACGGTCGATTGCAAAACTTACATTTGTAAGGAAATTCACCCGTATGTATCATTTTATGATCATTAAGATGCGATTTAGCAAGAAATTTTCGAAAACAAATTCCACATTCAAACCTTTTTTCACGCCCAGAACGAAATTTACGACCTTTTTTTTGAATTTTAGACGGGCTTGTTTCATATAAAAATTTTCCAGACAGTGAATTAAACGAGTTTTTAATTTCTGCGCTTTCCAATTTTAGATCTTTTTCACATTCAGTATTGAGACGATAGTCTGAAGCCATTAAAGACATCGATTGTTTTAAATTATTACTGCTTTTGTGTTTATCATTAGATTTATCGTTATTTACAGTTAGTTTAATACCTGTCCATTTGCCTGAAGAATACTTTTCAATGTAAGATTTAATACAGTTGGTGCAACCAATGCATCCAGCCCCACCGCAATAATCAAAATCGGGTTTTGTAAAAGAAACTGTATTATTTTTATTAAAATCGCATAGAAAGTTACGAGTGAGTGGATGAATTAATAATTTAGTGCTTGTTTCTTCCTTATCTAAGACAAAAGGTTCTGTCTGATTATTAGCTTCTACATGTGTATTAGGAGATTCATTATTTTCCTCGCAAATATTTTCACTTTGATATTCAAGTAAATTTAGATTTTTAGTTGCACATACAACTGGATTAGGTATTGGACCAGAGAATACTTTGTATTTGTGATGTAACTTTATATGTCGATTCCAACCAGATCTTTGTCGAAATCGCTTTGAGCAAAATTCACAGTTATAAGGCATTTCACCACTATGAACGTTATAATGTTCTCTATGATGGAACTTATTATAAAAAACTTTTTTACAAACCTTACAGCCATACGCCTGCCGACCATTTACCACAGATGTAATTGGTGCAGCTTGTTCATCTGAGCTAAAAAAATCATCTCTGCCAGATAAATATTGTTCTTGTTTTTTTCTCAGCATAACAGTTTTAATATATCTTTTAGCCGCCTGAAGAGCAATGGGAGGGATATCATCGCATACTCTTCGCTTTTTCTGAAACACCAAATTATCGTTTTTTAAAACGTCATTCTGACATAGACCTTTGGTTTCAATAGACTCCACAGAGTTCAATCTGTTTTTTTTAACCACATTATTGACGCATAAAGATCCATCAGCAATAAGTAACTTATTGCGCAAATCTTTTCTGTTGCTGGATCGTAAACTTTTGAGCTTCAATGACTCAGCATGAAGCTCAATGTGTTTACTAAACAATTCCTTAGAAAAAAACTTTCTATGACAGGTTGAACAATCATACTGAGGAACACGCTGTTTATCTTGAGAGTTAATCAGTTTTGATTCAAACTGATTATCGTAGTCTTCACGTGTTATACAATTAAACTTTTGCATTAGAGGAGGTACAAAGTCAGGTGTTGACAAACTATTACTACAATGTTCATTCATCATAACATGATATTGATTAGCAACAGTAACAACAAGAACATTCAAAGGTGCTTCATGTGAAGAAGTATTGGAACAGTTACTAAAAGTTAGATGATCTTTTTCATGGTGCTGTAGCAGGCTATCAGCAATCATTTCGTTACAAAATGAACATTTAACATAAAAATTGCACGACTGTTCATTTAACATACTATTCTTGGATTCCTCTTCTAAAATAAAAAAATTTATTTTCTATAAATGCAAATACAGGAGAATGCTCTTAAATATAACTTTTTTTTTTAATAGTAATATATACTATACTGTTATAACTATATATTATTATATATTATGTAAATAATATAATTGTATAATTTGTGAAATAACAACAGCAAGTTCAAACAAGTTCTATGCCAAAAAAAAGTTTCTCAAACACACACACACACACACAAAAAAACTAGATTAATTCCACATTAGGGGAATCGCAATAATAGAAGGCAGAAAGCCAAACAAAACTGTGAAATTAAATAGTATAACAAACTAAGAAAAAAACAAGGAAAAAACTACAATATAATCATAAAGAAATAATTGATCAAAAATATTTACTAAATATTTCCAATAATATTTACTCCTTAGAAAAGCTCTGTGGCTCTCTGCAAAAGTAAAAACTAAAAAACCTTTATTTAACATAAAAATTTTGGTTCAATTAGGAACTGAAAAAAAGAGTTTAAACTGAGAAAGCTAAATAAAATTATTATTAAAAAATACATGAACAAAGCATAATCACACTACTATACCAGAGATTTAATATCTTGTTATTTCTTAAAAACTTCAAAAAAAAAAAAAAAAAAAAAAAAAATACAGTTGATCATTGGCTAAAATTAAATAATATAGACTCTATAGAATATTTATTTAAAAAGCTAACTTTTGCTTTTCTTAAAAATTCAATAATTATTTTTTATTTATTTATTTTTTCACTTTGGTATGAAAGTCATTATACAGTTTAGCGTTCCATCTAAAAGTTAGTTAATTTATAAATCTTAATTATGTTTATTTGTGCATCTAGGAAAGATAAAACGTTAATTATATTATTTTTTGTTACTTTTTTATATTTTCAAAGAATTTTAAAGGACTCATGATTCTTATAAATTAAATTTATCTTTTTAGTTAAAATTAGACAGATTTTGTAAGCAAACGATTTAGTATATAAATATTATGTAAATTTCTTTGTTACCCAAGCAAAAATCTTAATGCTATGCATAAATTTTTTGCCTTATTTAAAAAAAGTAAAATTGAGACTGCTCATACTTTTAAAAAAAAAAATTATGATTTATGCAATAAAAAAAGAGGGGAGGGGGAATCCATAAGTGCACCTTATATTAAAAGAAATTTGTTTACTATTTAAATATCCCTAAATTATTCTCCTTGAAGACTGCGTGTCGTTTAAAGCACTAACAACCAATAGACTATCCAATAATTAAATAGCTATTATAACAATAGCAATAATACCTTTAATTACTGCATAACTTTTTTTTAAACGAACCTTTTTTGTTTGTTTTTTAAATCGTGAATCAGAAATTGGCAGTTAAAATGAAAACAAATCAGTTCTTTGCTCGAAAGCAAATCATTTAACTCACAAAATTTTAACTCTCGCCGCATCTTTTTTTTAATAAGTTTCCCCCTAACATTTTAATACTCTTTATAGCAATAGGGTACCGTTTTGGTGACGTCAAATTGTTTGTTTGTCCGAGTATTAATCCCACAACCACTAGCATTTTTAAGAAATTTTTTTGTTTCTGTGCAATGTTTGTCCGCATTACGATCCCAGAAAGCTTTGAAAAAATCTATATTTAGAACCGCAACGATACATTATTTACTAAATTTAAAAAAAATTGAAAAATATAGTAATTTATATAACATTTTATAATTATTTTGCGCCGAAAGTTTAATATTTTAAAAGTTAAATTAATAAAAAAATAATAATCGGCTATTCAGATAAAAAAGTTTATCACTAATGGCACTCTTGATTTGGATTTATCACTAACGGCACTCTGGATTTATCAATTGAGAAAAAAAAAAAGACTAATAACAAAACATGTTTACTTTTTTTAATACTTTAAAGCTTGATGTTAGAAATTATTTAGTTTGATTAAGAGAGGAATATTAGTATGTTTGGTTAAGAGAGGAATACGGTAATAATTTGTAACTTTGAAAAAAAATTAAAATCGGCTATAAACAAACAAATAAAGGCTGAACGGGTATATAGTTTATAACCATACTTCTGAAAAATAAAACGAATATAGGCGATAGAACCTTGACCACAGTTGCTCAAATTTAATTAAAAATATCTCATTTATGTGTGGGCAAAAAAAGATCTGGACAAGTGTTTTGATGCAATTAATTACTAAACATTAGGAAGGACGGTTATTAATGTTTTTAATTTTTTTTTAAATTAAACTGAAAACAAGCTGCTTTTAAAGGGAGCCCCTAAATATGTTTTAAAGATTCCAGTGATACCAGAAAGCTTTAAAATCTAAAAGAAACTATCGTGATTTCAAAAATATTTTATTACAATGCTTAGATTTCGTTCAGACGCTGTGAATTCAATATGGTTACCTAAAAAATCAACTTGAATATATATTAAAAATGATTTTAAGTAAATAAAAAAAAATTGAAATATCCTTAAATAACGCAAGTGCGTGAACACCAATACTTTTGTTAAAAAAAATCAAGTTTTAGTAGAGATAATCAAACCGCGTATTTATTTATGTATGTATGCATGTATATATATATATATATATATATATATATATATATATATATATATATATATATATATATATATATATATATATATATATATATATACATACATATACATTTAAAAAATTTAAAATGTATTATACAAAAAGAGTGCTCAATGTTCTTAAAAGAACAGAGCAATTACAAATTAGTAGAAAATCACTTTGCAAAATTTTTTCTCATTTAACACTGTTTCATCAATAAAGACTCATCAGAAATGCATCAATCAGAAATATAAATATATATATATATATTTATATTTCAGAAATATAAATATATATATATATATATATATATATATTTATATTTCAGAAATATAAATATATATATATATGCATGTATATATATATATATCTACATGTGTATATATTATATATATATATATATATATATATATATATATATATATATATATATATATATATATATATATATATATATGCATGTATATATATACATGTGTGTATATATATATATATATATGCATGTATATATATATACATGTGTGTATATATATATATATATATATATATATATACATATATATATATATATATATATATATATATATATATATATATATATATATATATATATATATATATATATATATATATATATATATATACGGTTTTTGACTCATATATATTTTACTTTTCTCAATTGACAATGAATTGTTTAATTGAGTCTACATTTATGTAAATATATAAACAGGTCATTGCGCGTCTAATAAAGTCAAAAATCAAAATCGGAAATGCACTATACACATGCATCTACAATAAGTTAAAGTAAACGCCATTTGACGATATTGCACAAGTCACTTTTACTAACGTCAAATTCATTATAAAAAGACGTAAAGCAATTTGCGTCTGCGCTTTCGCTCGAGCTAAGGGAAAATATAAACAACAATTCTTACTGCAAAGAATGGAGAATGGAAAAAATTGAGATGCATTACTGTGCATAATATTATTGGTTTAATTCTAGAAATCATAATTTTAAACTATTGTAGGGTTTACCTTTAACGCGCATGCGCAACTAAATAACACCCTTAAGTTGTTTTATGAAAGAAAGAAAACCGTTACAAAAATATGCTTTTAACTTCCGAGTCGAAATCCCTAATGTTTAATAATTTAATGCTAAACAATATCTTAATGTAAAACAAGATCTTAAATATACAGGTTTTCTTAATGAGAGACTTGATTTATTTTGCAGGTTTTTCTTTTTGAAAAAGTTGTTAATTAAAAGAAGAAAATTATAACAATCAGCAAAATTAAAAATTATTCAAATTTATTCGTTAAAAAGTTTAATTTAAAAAACATCAGGAAAGCACCTAGTAATTTAAACCTGTATATGCTAAAAACTTAAAAGAATATGCTAAAAACTTAACTGCAAGGCGTTTAAGAGCGTCACCTTAAATTTTATTCTATAATCAAATACTTTTGAAACCTATTGAACAGTTATAGGTTATTTAAAACCGTAGAGTATAAAACGAAAGTACTTTTAAAAATAAATGGCTCACCAGAACATAAAATATTCAGAAATTTTATAACCAAAATTTCTCAACTCCCTATAAACATTTAAACATCTCAATTATATACTGAAATATATCCAGAATGGACATATTGTCAAAAATGACAACTCTATTTAGGTAACCTTGTTTTAGTCAAAAAAGATGATAATTTAAAAAAATCAAAGTAAATAAGATAAAATCTAGTTGATAATTAAATATCAGCTTGTCATATGGTTCATCTTGATTGATTCAATTTGATTGACTTACGTTAATAATTTAATTTGCACTTAAACCAATTTTTTTTTAATGATTCTTGGCCATCTGTAGGATCCAAAAGAAACTTCAATTTTAAGACAAAGTTATTACTAAAACAATTTTAGAAACATTTATAAGCTACAGTCTCCATTTTTTTGCACTTTCATAAATATTTAAAATTTTAAAGTTTTTCAAGTAAATTTGTAAAAATTTTGTTTAAAAAATTTTATTAGAAAAATTCATTTCATTAAGAAAAGGATAATTTAAGTAAAAATCTTAACATTTCATACAGATAAAAACAAGAATGGCTTTACTTAATTGTTAAAGATTAATTGTTAACTTAATTGTTAAGACGAAACCTTTTCATCAATTTTTGAAAGATCATATTTCACTTACTAAAAAAAAAACGAATCTAGATAAGTATATTAAGTATATTAATACCGAGACATCGACTCTACAAAAAGTAAACCAGTTTTTTAAAAAAAAATCTAATTAGGAAATCATAAAATTAGGAAACACATAAAATTACTTTCTTGCAGTATTCACTAACGAAAACATTTGTTAACTCATTAAAAATAACAGTTAGCTAATAACCATTTAAAAAACAACCTGTTTTTTTGCCTTCTCTTATCTTTCTTTCAACTCACTGCCTTTCTAAAAAACTTC